ATTCTGATTGTATAATTCACGAACAAGAAATTACTTGCTCTTGTGTTCCCAAGTTGTCCAGTTGTATTTATGCTTAAGTTGTGTCTCCGCCAGTACGGCTCTGCGCGCCGTTCGAAGTTGAGTGGCAATTACAAGCTGTCAAGTGGTGGAGTTGTTGCGGGTGAGTGCACGCGGCCTCCCCGCCGAGAGCGCTTATATGCAAGCTTGTTCCGTGTTGCCGCAGCGCTGGAGGACTCCCGAAGGATGCCCGCACCGTGCCCGGCGGGCGCCGCCCAGCGGACGCGAGAACTACGCGCTCGCGCCGGTGAGTCCGCCAAACTACTCCTACTTACAATACACAAAGTTACATAATGCTGCGGAAAAATGCGCCAAATAATACAGATATCAACGGAAATACTGCGTAAACTTTTTAATTGAATATTTATCAACGAATAAAACACACACGCCGTTTTTTACATGTTGTTTTCATTTCAAAAAATTCAAAGTATAATATATTCACATTTCTCTCGCATCGCCAACTTTTGACATATAATCAATTGCGACGTACGAGGCTTTAAAAGATAGTTTATAAACATAATCCTGAAAACTCAAATTTTTCTGTGAATATGCCTCCAAGTTCCGCATTTTCAAATTCGCTAATAAATCTTGTTCGAAAACAGTTTCGGAATTTTTAAAAATGACTCTATGGATAATGCGTTAAATTGCATATCTTAAATGACAGAAGAGTCACCTTGCTTTTTCTTTTATTGGTTGTTTGCAAAAAATACACAATGTTGAAGTTTTGTATTTTGTATTTTGTATTTCACGTCTGTTGTAGTATTTACATTACTGGCATTTCTAAAAAAAATATTCCTTGGAACCGTGGGACCCGTAAATTTGAAGAAATGACTTTAGCGCCTGTAGATGGTCACCGAGAAAAAAGTGAAAAAGGCAAACCCACAAACATAGAATCTAAAATGAAGTTATGTAGAAGGTAACAAAGTGTGCGAATAAGAGTTGTGTGCCATCCTTGCAGTCTCGCCGGTTGGCGAGTGAGTGCACGAGGTGTGGTCGCATCAGGCAGCAGCCCAGGTCAGCGCGCGCGCGCCCGCGCCAGGACACGGGCTACCTCCACGCGTCCAGCTCCCGACGCCTCCACCGACGGCTCGGCGCGACTCGCCCGGCGCCTACCCCGCCTGAGCCCGCCCGTGCTGCGCCCCAGACGCCTCGCTGCGGTCGACTAAGTGGCAGAACGTTTCGCACGCAAGGTCGATCCTGATTTGATGGTTCCGGGCGCGTCAACGGCTAAGAACCCTTAAAGTCTCGGCACAGTGTAGTGCATGTTTTTCCACCGAGAGTGATTCTCCACCCGCCAATGGGTGGAGATGAGATTTGGCGTCCGACCAAAAGGCCTCTAAGCTTCCCGACTAGTTTCCGAATCATGTGTTGAGTGTGGCTCATGTAAGAATAAGTTTTAGTTAAGGGCCAATTAGGACAAAAAAGAGCGAAGACCCCAAGATCGCGCCGCGGTCCTTGCCCGTTGTGAGCCTAGAGCTCCGGCATTGTGACTGGTGTTGCGTCGGTGATAACCACGGAAAGACTACCGATCAGAGCTGCCGCCCAGCGCGCCTCCCGCTGCGCTTACAATTGTCCCCCAGTACTGCCGCTATGATCAAAGAATCTTCAGCACTGACTTTTAGTGCGCTGATAGGTCAAGTTTTCCGGATATCTCCTATTCAACACCAGACCGCCAGCCGGTAGCTCAGTACTTTAACAAACGGGCCAGGGACCACGTGAACGATCTTTCCTATCTTCTCCTGTCCCCTCACCCATCTTACACACACCTTACCGACTTGTCCATGGCCATGCACTACCTGTCCTTTTAGTACCTTAAAATCTCCGATGAAGCGGGAAAGTATTCCGGATGGCGGGGATACCTGCGGAAGGCCGGAAACCTGGCCAACGGAAACGTGTTGGCAGCAAACCAATCTCATGTGCCTCGAACGCGCCCGTCTCGCGGGCGAACTAAATGACCGCAGCTGGTAACCCCAGAAACGAAAATTAATCAACCCCCAAGTCGCTTCAAGCAAGCTCCCAAATTGCGTCAAGGCAAACAGCTCAACCGAGACAGCGGAAAAGTCAGAGGCTTTGCGAGTGGAGCCGTGAGGTTATCCACCCCTGACAAAACGGTGGCAACCCTTCGCGCCGCCGAAGACCCACGCGCACAGGACCCTCTATTTAATTGCACCCCTCTTCGGTAGGTATTTTTTTAGCTAAAATTGTGCTGTATTAGTCAACAAACTTCTGTAATTATGGTTGCTGTGTCGATTAAAGACATATCAATAATTGTCAACTAATTATTAAATGCCAATGTCTGTGTGCAAGCATACGAGCTACCCTTTCTTTGGACACCGATCGCACTCTCTCACTCAGCTGGACGTAGTATACAGTCGACAAACTAAGGTCTTCTTTGATTAAGGTTTCTGTGCCTTTGCCGTTTGAGCCATTCTTTTGTTATGACAGTAAGAAAGTCATTGAAATCATTTATTTTTACATTTTAACGGAGAACTTTTGCTTAAGGCACAAACACTGTTTTAACTATGTTGATAATAATTAATATTAGAAAAATGATACTGTCATACAAAGAAAGCAAATTATCACATGTTCTTCTTCTCTGACAACATACATCCCAATAAACTGTTAAATCTTCATCTATTGTTGTGAATTACAGTTATAACCAAGATCCGATTTAAGTAATCTCCAAATTTAAAGTCTTTAAGGTAGATGTTTAATTGTTAACGCTTCAAGTGAGGAAATTTAGCAGAGGAAATCGTATTATACCGAAATGTTAACCAAACTTCTAGCGACGAAGTGGGTCGTAAATCGTTCACCCTTTTCGCTTGTTCATGCTAGGGACACGAAAAAATTGCGCTTACTGACGCCCCTGTAGCTCGCATGCCGCTCTGAGTTACCTTACGCCATCAGGACGCAAACGTTATCCATTCCGTGACTCATATACTTACTTTAATCGAAGAGTGGCGCAGATATTCGTCGAAAAACTATTAATAATTTGTGAACACGCAGCACGCGACCCGAATGGATTAATGTGAAATATGCTCCACGATATAAAGACAAAATTTATAAACTAATATATATTTGTGCAAATTAACGTACTCATCCAAAATTGGTTCTCATATTTATTCAGTATTTGAAATCGGCACTAAGTACTTGTGCCATAAAAGTTCCAAAGACATTTCAGCTATTTCAATCACTAGTCATTCCAAAAGCATTACCAAACCCGTTCGTAAAGATGTTCTGATGACGCACATGTCACATTGTCCCGGCAAATTTCACAGGCAAATTCACCGCGCATCGCTATCACTCGGCCACGCGCAAACTCACAGAAACTCCCCCTTGTAGAACACAATTCACAAACATGTCTCTGTAATAAGAAGCAACAAATTCTTCAATTGCTTGCCAACAATTTCACTGTCCCCACAGTTATATTTGGGCATTTCTTCTGTAAAAGAGAAACGACTGTCTGAAGTATGAGCAGCTGCGTCAAACTTCGTCACATCATCTCTCACGCGTAAGTTCGGAAACAACTGTCTTTGCCCGTTGCTGTACCTGCTGCTCATATTGGCCCTCCAATTTCATAGACCTATTCATGTTTAACTACATCCCTATCTGCACACTTGCGTTTCACGTAATACAAAGAAAAAAAGATTGTAGCAACCTAATTAAATTAACAGTTTCAATTTTAGCCACAAAAAATATTGGATTAAAAAAAAAGGTTACCCCCGCCCCAACGTTTGTTTCCATTGGGGCCAAAAAAAAAGCGGTGTGTCCTTTTGAATTCAACTTCGGCTTTGTGCCCTAGTCTCCAGTCGGTTGTGCCGATGAGGCTGTAGGCCTGATCTTGATCTCTCTCTCG